ATCTGTTAACTTTAGACCAGTGGTTCTCAAACTTTTTTGGTCGCGCCCCCCTTTAAAGCTATAAAAAAAATCTGCGCCCCTTCCCCTTCCCAAAACCCCATTTCACCTCAGACTACCATGGCAAGGCAAGACAAGTTTATTTATATAGCACATTTCATACACAATGGTAATTCAAAGTGCTTTACATAAAAGAAATGAAAAAATAATTTAAAAAATAATCACAACAATGAAATACCAAATAATTTCACTAAACATTATGAAAAATTAATGCTTTTTTAATTAAAAAAAACCTACAGGGAAACAAACACCTGCATTACTTGAAACATTGAAAAATAGCATAGAGAGAATAACTGTTGTTATTATTATTATTATTCTCTCTGTTATTTTTTTTAATTTTTTTGTGGGTTTCATGCTGTCCGCGAAGGCATAGGACACACAGGCTTTCCTCCTCACCAACGACATCGTGTCTACACCGGACGCGAGTGGCAAAATACAGTAGAACCATTATAATCAGTGACGCTGTGTACACTGGATGCGACGCGACACACAACAAAACCCGACATTAAACTGATGCCTTGTTCTATTTATGACGTACTGACACAAAGTTAAAATGATTTACAACGGTCGCTTTGTCGCGTCAGTGTAGAGCTGTTGCGGCACGACGCGACAACTGTAGCGTCCGGTATAGAGACGGTGAGTGAAGCCGAGAGCAAGATATACCTCGTCATGTTTTCTGCATTTAGCTTTTAAATGAACAGACTTCATCTGTGGCTTTTCTCTTCGCTTTCACAAACGATCCATCTCTCATTCTAAGTTACATCCTTTTAGATTTTATTTCTTTTCTTTTTCTGCTGATGGCCCACGCTCTACTTGAAGCAGCGCTGCTTTGACCGATGGGTGTGTGTCATCAAAGTACTGCGAGAGCTATAAGAGAGCGCGGACGTCTCCTTATGCTTTCTCTCGCCTACTTTGATGTCATAGGCTACACCGATCGATCCTCAAGTCGAACACACCTCTTTACTCTCGCGTCACGTGTCACGTGACCGAGTGTAATCGCAGCCTCTGCGATTGAAAAATCAAGTTTTTTCATATCGCGATATTATCGCAAATGCAATTAATTGTTCAGCCCTAGTGTTCATGCAAGGAATTTAATTTAATATTAACAAAATACACCGATATTACAAGAATCATTTCATTTCTTGTTTGTATCTACCCTGGTTTTTGCTCATTTTGTCTAATTTTGGAAGATATAACATCTGTTCTGACATCATCTAGCACAATCCCAGTGTCACTTCCGTCCTATCATCCCTTAACTCCAGTTTCCAGTGTGCTTCACCATGCACTCAAAATGAAGTCATGATTTAGCACTAGGAAGCCTTATGACCCGCTAAACTGGAAAGTTTCGTTATTTCTGAACATATCCACCTTATTTTTCAATGTGGACGTAAGCTGTTTTCTGTGAATGTGTGAGACTTCTGCTTCATTGGCCGCAGTAGGGAAATAACAAGAAGAATAATGGTGCAATAAACGGTAAAATTGTTTGTGCTACAACCCAGTGTTTATAATTAAGAAAATACATTAAAATAATATGGTAAGAAACACCAGTTTGCAATATGAAGCAGCAAAACGAGCTGTTTTGTACTGCTAAAAATAGCTGGAAACGGGTGACACCGGAAGCCAGACACATTAAATTTACAAATGGCCGTGTCCGCTCTTGCGGGACAATTAAGATGGATAGGATATGTTTAGGGACGTTTGTACAATATTTGCCATCTTTATATTTAAGAAGTCATTTGTTTTATGTTTACACCATGTTGGGCACTTTGTGTGCTGTACTCGGTATAGAACTTTCGTTAACTACAACATGATTCAAGTAAAATTTTCTTTATTAACCATCTAGTTACATTAAGTTGACTAGTTAAATGTAAAACGAATTGAAATCTTGAGTCGGTCAAACATTCTGGAGAAGAAAAGAAAATAATAAAAAGATTTAATTTTTTGCCATATCGCCCAGCCCTAGCCAGCCAGTTACTTACCTGATTATTATTATTATTATTATTTTTCTTAGAGTCTGCACAACCCAATCCAGCATTTGCAGGAGCTGCTGGTATTCTTGGGCCTCCTCCCAGAGGGTTAAAACCAGGTTAGTGCCTAACCAATGTGTTTGTTTGTGTTAATAGAAGTGAACTATCTAGAATAGTAACTGTGATTTTAAATGTATAGTTGCTTGACTTTTTTCACACATCCTCAGGTGGTCCATATGGAGGTCCCATGTACATGGGGGATTTACCACCCCGGGGTGGCATGATGCCTAATTTCTCCCCTGGCATGCGTGGGGGTATGGATGAACCCCCCATGAGGAGAGGTTATTCAGATATGGGAGACTTCACTAGCCCAGGTCGCTATGGTAACAGCATGCCTGGACCAGACAGGGGAATGATGGAAACAGACAACATGCAACATTTCCCTGACGATGGACCCATGCGCATGGGCCCAGATGGCTTTGGGCCTGGCCAGCGTAATGAAGGCAGGGGCAGACCTTTCCCTAATGACATGTCCATGAACAGCAGTGGTGACAGATTGTTGGGACATGGCCCTAAAGGCCCGGAGAACAATAGCCTCCCTGCAACACTGCTCAAATATCTGGTACTACTCTCTTTTTGAATAACAGTGCTTGTTGAAGCACTTCATGTGTTTATATTATCAACCATTTGGAGTTACTGAAATTTGTGTGTTTCTGTTTTATTATTAGGACTCTTTTCGTATTGAAAACGAGGACGATGCTCAGATCGTCTTGAAGGTCACACAGAAGCTCACAGATGTTCTGATGGAGTATCGCCTCAGAAGTATTTCAGCGGTGAAGGATTTCATTTATACTCTACATTTATTAGGCTATACATTTATTGTTATATTTGATTTTTATTATTATTTATAAAAAATCATATTTACTAGCTCAGATCAAACTCAAGAATTTAATTGGAATTTTAAATGTAACTAATTCTTAATGCCACACAATTCTGATCATCATTTGAAAATATTTGACTGTAGAATATCAGTTGTTCCAGAGTGCCATGTAATAGAAACAGACGACTAGCCTGTAGTTATGTATAAGATTCAATATAAGATAGGGGATGGCCATTTCGGTTAATTTTCCCGATCGACAACCTTTACTTGTTATCTGGACATTAACCGTTAACTGATAAGATTAGAATAATAAATTATTCTTAAATAAAAATAGAACGCATGAGTGTCTGTGACCCATTAAAAAAAAAAAAAAAACTAAAAAAATTTTTCACTGGTTTATTTTAACGTGCAAACAGCAGCATACAGAACAACAGAGCAACAGAACCTGGATTCACACATCGTCAAATTATCACACACCTGCAGCGCTTCTGAGAACAGAGAAAAACAGAATAAAATAACAAATAAAAAGAATAAAATAATAGGCCTACACTAAATATTTTTCAATTAAATAATTAACATTAAGATGACAAAACGAAAACACTGAATCCTTCTACGCATCTTAAAGAACCGGCAGTTTTTTTTTTTCATCAGACATAAAAAATAAATAGAAAACCTACCTCAGTGCACAATGTGTCGAGTTTTTACTTATAAAAAAAAAAAAAAGGTAGCCTAAAATGTCGACGTGCTGTGCACATTAATTTATTTGTGCTTTTTTTCCCCCCTAAAATATTATATAGTTTTATAGGAGGAGGTTTCATAGACTTGGCAAATTCATTTTTCAGAAGTTTGTAGGTACAGACATCTGTTGTGGGCATTCTTGGCAGTTTGAGGCTTTTTAAAATATTGTTCCTATCGATATTAGAATTATGGAACTAGACGAAAACAAGGAGATCAGCACACTCTACAAACTATCCCCGCAGCATTTAGGCAGGCATTTCCAACAGATTCAAACAGGGCACAACAAATCACCGTAACAAATCATGATTAAAAAATTGTAAAAATCAAGGAAATTCCTATGGCATTTCTTTCTTTTTGCTGTATTGAAAACTAGGGCTGGGTAAAAAAAAAAATCGATATCTCTATTTTAATCTATTCTCATTTTTACGGAACGATATCGATTCTTCAATCCCAAGAATCGATTATTCTAGCCTGTTTTCAGTTAATGGATGGAACATTGAAGGGTACTTCCCATCCAATATATCGCAAATAAGCATTGTGCTTTGGTACTTTTAAAATGAACTAGGGCTGCACGATAAATCGCATGCGATATTTAATGCGCATCTTGTCAGTAAAGCCGCTTCTGTAATCAGCGGTAAATCTCCATCACATGCGGGCTTTCACATGGAGCAGCATTTACTACACAGAGCCGTTGTTCACTGACAAGATGCGCAAAAAATCGCGCGATTATGAACTGTATAGTAAATGCTGCTCCATGTGAAAGCCCGCACGTGATGGAGATTTGCCGCTGATTACAGAACCGGCTTTCTGACAGGAGCATTTTGCTAAATATATGCACCATATAACATTCATTATAATTTTTACTGTTCTTCAATGTTTAATTTATGTTTGAATAAATCCATCAAGTTTTTGACTGCCACCATTTAAATGTTTATATTTTAAAAAAACGAATTGAAGTAGAAGTATTATTATGTAGCTAATTGTAAATTTATTATTTTAAAAACTTCATTGTGTAATCTTAGCAGTTATATATTAGCCTACAAATCTGTCAATTTTAACCTTCAATATTATAGTAATGTAGTACCAACTGACTCATGTATATTTTACAGCATTAGTTGAGAGATTTTTTTTCCTTGAGAAAATTTGGCATGTACTGTACCTGATATGTATCCAAAATAATCGATATTGAATCGAATCGTAATCGAATTGAATCGCAAGCTTGTGAATGAGAATCGAATCGTGAAATTTGTGTCAAAACCCAGCCCTATTGAAAACGTACCGAACCGTGACACCACTGCATCGTATCGAACCGAACTGTGAATTTTGTGAACCGTTACACCCCTAATCAATACTGGTGTGCATTAGAGCCTTTAATTACCGTTCTATATTAACGCGCTGCTTACTGACACACACACACATATATCGGAGATCTCTCACATCCAGGAGCAAAGAAACTTGTCAATGCTGCCCCACATCTAGGCCTGTAGCGATAATTAAATAACCGTGTAATCGCGATTATTTGATCTAACTTGATTGTGCTTTTTATACGGCACAAGGGGGAGTCATACACCAAAAGATACAGAAGAGCACAAGTTTGGTTTTCATGCACTGTATAGCCTATATCATCTGAAGCCATTCCATATCTTAATGTGAGGGACAGAATTGTATTTACATTGTTAAATTTAAGTTACAGAAATTGATCTTCCTTCTGCTGCAGCCGTCAGTTATTCTCCGCTCAGCATTCAAACAGCACGTCACGTTCAGTTAAAACAGTCAGCACAGTAAAACTCTCTCTCCAAGATGATATATTCTCATTATAATACTTGATGTGTAGATAAAGGTCTGGGGATTTGCATAAAATGACATCTTGCTTAGGTTTATTGCTCTTATTTCTCTTCTCGTTGTTTTGTACCGTGTGGTGTGCAGTGCGCTGTGACTTATGTTGCTTCAAGCACATCATTCTGCACCCTAGATGTGCATAAGCGCTGCGTAACAGAATAAACATGTTTAAATTGTACAAGGTGCACCAAAGATTTTTTTTCAAGATATTGTTTTTGCTGCTAAATTATACAGTCAGCTAGTTTAATTTCATAGCTTATATATTTTTATTCAAATGTAGTTTTTCTCTCTATTTAGTGGATAATGTTTAACAAAGGGTTTTTAAAAAAGTGACCATTACTTCTACAAACACAGTACTGATATTCTGTAAAAAAAAATTATAAATGAAATGGCGCTGGTGTTGGATCGCTATTGGCAGATTCTTAGAATTTGGAATACTCTATGAATTCTTACACTGCAAAATAATAACTCAAAAAAGATTAAAAGATAACATCATAATTATTTACTGAACCCTTAAATTAATCACAATTATATAATGAAAGCCATAAAAAAAGACAATTAATCGCGATAATCGCCAAAGCCCTAAAACAGACGATTAATTGCAATAACCGTGACTATTTTTTAGACAATTAATCGTCAGCCAAATTTCATAATCGTGACAGCCCTACCCATGACTTTTATTAATAACAGTTTAAATATCGAATCGCTACATTATATGTTCGAGAAACGAGAGGATGCAATCGCTGTTTTTGAAGTAAACTCACTTGTTGTAAAGAGAGACGCACAGACCCGCATACACACAACTTTCCTCTCTCTCTCTCTCTCTCTCTCTCTGTAATTAATAAAAAATAATTACCTTTCTAATTTAATTCAATTCTAATTTAAAATAATCTTGTCGGTTAACGAGCGTCGGTTAGGAAAAATAACCGAAATGAACATCCCTACTTTCTGTATCTCTTGTGACGTGAGTGCAGCAGACATATTTGTCCGCTGCGTTCTGTGTGAATGGCTTGGTTTCGGTTTTAACCTAATCAGGATCTTCTACGCATTGAGCTTCTATATTTCTCTAATATTTTGAATGAATAACGCAGCAGCGGCGCATCTCGTGGGCTAGACTAACAAAACATTAAACTACAAAGTCATTCACATCATTATCACCGCATCTCGTGCTCCACAGATGACGCTCCCTGACGCACACCTAACATTCGATTGTACTATTTTTTTTGCATTCAAATGCAAATGTTTATTTTAAATTCGACTAATATTCATTCTTTATTCACAATATCCTCATCACAGGCAGGCACAGCACTCATTTCAGCATGTGTTCGTGTTTGTGTGTGCTGTCTGCGTCACTCATAGCACGTGCCTATATCGTGCACTATATCAAACATTTTTTAGATCGTTATCGAAGAAGGTGTACCGTCGATAAATATTGATACTGTTTTATCGCCCAGGCCTAATTCATGCCCCTTCGTTTGAAGTGTGGTCCCGAAAAATCTTAGTTTGAAGGGCTGTCTGGCCCTCCCCATCCAACCAAAAGAGAATCGAGACACCCCTACCCCTTCACGTGAACGCGCAAAACGGAGGGGTAGGGGAAAGGGGAAGGGCTAAGGGGTAGAAATGGGATTGGGTCTAAGTATTTAAGTATTCAGTGCTGGGATGAACACCATAGTTAATACAAAAATCTGAATGTTTCTGAACAGTATTTAAATTATTTAAACAGTCAAAGTAGCACTGCTGCTTTGTTCTAACCGTGCTCTGCTGTCAGAGAGTGAATGTGCATTTTCATTTAGTGTGTCTCCTTTGCACGTTCCGCCATGCACTTCTTATCCGTGTTGGGTTTGTTTACATCAGTGTGCAGGCCTCTTTGACGCAGCATACGGTGTTGTGCATTTAAACCAGTTGATTGGAAAAGTATTCTTAAAATGCATTCAAAAAATCTGAATCATTTGTAATAAACAATTATTCACTGTATTTTGAAGTGCCCACAATTACAATATAGTGCATGTTAATTATCGTGATGTATTGTATTACTGAGTACCGGCCCATGTCTAGTGTAAACAATAAGGAGTCAAAGAAACTGGTTGCAGAATTGTTTTCTGCAAACATTTCTAACACAGGATGTGGTTTATATGCTTGATTTCCTATGATGAGGTTTTTATTGAAGGCTTCAGCAATCTCAAACCCGTTTCACTAGGTTACATCTGAAAATAAGGTTGTATAAATAATCTTTCTGAAAAGATCTGAATAAAATTAGTGGCAAAAGAACCTGCTGTATAGAATGAACAACAAGCTCTATAGGAGGATAATAAGCCATCTGTCACATGATTAGCAGTGTCTCCAAATAATTTTTAGTATAAGTTTTTAATTTGAATTGTTTTTCAGGTGCCCAGTGTGAAGCCCCTGCCCTCCATGAACTTCTCATCCTCATGTCTTCCACACAACTCTAAGGACAGATTCTCCAGCGGCATGCCAGGTATTGCACACTTGAGCTGATTTTGTTTAGTTTGCACAGACCCTACTATTGCTAGTAAATGGTTTGAGTCCAAGTTCCAAATAAGTACCTCTCATTTGTGAAGTATTTGCTTTGCTGGAACACCAAAAATAGGCATTATTACATGTTATATAATAAATAAAACATTTTCCAGTATCATGACCATTACTGTAATATAAAATTACTCATCGTGCTTAGTTATGCCGCCCACCCCTGCTTCTGAATTTTTTCATATCCAACTGTCATCTGGAATATTTGGTATCGCCTCTATTACAAGATAGATGTTTCCAGAGGGTATTTAATGCTTACTCTGTCCAAAACATAAGGGCAAAATAAGATCAGGTTTGGTTAATTTTGACTTTTTAAGCTGTGTGAAAATAGAGAACTGAGGTCATTAATTCTAAATCTGCCCCTTAGGCTGCGAGTCCCCAAAGCATTTTTATCCAAGGCTAGCATCTTTTTTTCTTTTTTTTTTCAATTGTTTTCAATGGGAGCACCACTATTTTTATTTTTATTTTTAAACGCCAGGATCGTGATTAGGTGCTGAGTGTTTAGTGCTCTGCATTTTTTTCTTTCTTTTCTTTTTTTTTTCTGTCTCTGCACCGAGAGTTGAAGAATGTTCAACTTTGGGTAAAACACAGCACTTATCACTGTCAATTTTGTCATCCATCCAATCACAGTGGAGGATGAACAGGACAAATTCCACACCAACCAACAGTCACATCAAGCGTTCACAGCTCACAGCATTTTCAGCCGACTAAAGCCTGGTGTAGGGAAATTTACAGTTAAAACCCAAGGACCAGGTATGATGAATGAAGACCAGGGCCTGTATTCTTAAAGCTTCTAAGAATCCTCTCAGAAAGCTCCTAATTTAGCGTAATTTCTACGTAGGAGTCTTAGCTTAAAGGGTTAGTTCACCCAAAAATGAAAATTCTGTCATTAATTACTCACCCTCATGTCGTTTCAAACCCGTAAGACCTTATCTTTCGAAGACGTTCATCTTCGGAACACAAATTAAGATATTTTTGATAGAATCTGAGAGGCACAGAACAGCATACATTGTTTACGTCCAATAAAAGTCCAAAATGGCACCAGGGTGATGCGGAGGAGACGAATTGTTGAATAAAGTAATGTTGTTTTTTTGCGCACAAAAAGTATTCTCATAGCTTCGTATAATTGCGGATGAACCACTGATGTCACATGGATTATTTTACAGATCTCCTTGCTATGTTTCTGGACTTGGGAACATTTCAGTTGTATTGCTGTCTATACAGGGTCAGACAGCTCTTAGATTCCATCAAAAATATCTTAATTTGTGTTCCGAAGATGAACAAAGGTCTTACGGGTTTGAAACAACATGAGGGTGAGTAATTAATGACAGAATTTTCATGTTTTGGTGAACTAACCCTTTAAGAGCCATTCAGGACCAATCTGAGAGCAACTCTAAGCAAGGAAAATACAAAAACTTTAATCTTAGTGAGGAGGCGGGGCTGACCCCGTTGCTACGTATGATGACAGTCTTTTGAAGGCTATGAATGGCTGGCTGTCCAAGAAGAGAAAAAAAAGTGTTTTAGGGTTTATTATAAGCCTTCACTTTGAAATTAAAGGTGTAATTTTTCCTGTTTTACCGTGCTCTCTCTCTCACACACATTATATATATGTACATTTATATAATGTACATTATGTATATATGTGTGTATATATATATATATATATATATATATATTACTTTTTATTTACCATGCTGTTAAGGTTCTGAAAGTGCTGTAATTGTTTGTGTGATCACTCTGCTTGTAGAAGGTTATGACAGACCCCAAATCATCACTGCTGTAAAGTTGCATTTTTCCAGTTGCCAAATATGTTAATGTACAGCCACGTTCACACAGTCCAGTCACTGTTCTCCAATGGAGTGGTTTCCATCAGTTTTTTGTTCTATGCGTGACTCAAATTCAGTGTCATGCGCAAGATGCAGAAAAGGATGTGAGTGCATATACGGGCTTGACTCGTTGCACGTTCATAGACAGTATTTAAGACACTACTGTAAGCTGCTGTTTCAACGGGACATTTCGAAACTCACACCTGTAAGGAAATGTGGTTTTCAATCCCTAAAACTGACAGTGTGAACATGGCTGTAGTTAAAGCAGTGATTACTTTAATGTCTGGCGCTATGGCATTTTTAAACTGTGTCGGAGATGTTAACATGTCTCTAATAATATCGGACATGATCACAGTCAAACGTGATCACTGCACGATCTAATGTGTAGTGTCTTATTAACTCACTGTCATGCATTGTGTGCAATGCATTTCTTCTCCCTCTTCACGTTTCGTTGATTTTCTCCACTGCTAAAGATTCTCTTAAGCCTTGTTACTCGGTGTGTCCTTTTATCTTACACCTTTAACCCTATGATTATTCAGGTAGGGTAAGGATAGTCGAATCTAACCTAAACCATAAAGCACTCACCCGCCCACAGGTTGAAGTCCTTCAGGAATGACGTAGAAGACTCTCTTGTGGTTGTTCTTGTTTGAGGCTCAGTTTGAAGTTAAAAGTAAATTCTCACTGGAGGCAATCGTAACAATAAAATCTCTTATTTTATTGGTTACAATACAAAGCAGTTAATGCAAAAATAAAATTTAAAAAATCAGCTAAGTTACAAGTTCTATAATCAAACTCTAAACAGCAATATTGGAGATGCTGTTAAGCGCCCCTCGTTAGGGTATCAGGTGTGCTTCACACTTAATGCAGGCAACATCTGAAGAGTGGTTTACTCCTCAGACCTTTTATACTACTTTTTGGGTAACTCCAATTACTCATCAATGTCTGTGACTCATGGCGGATGTCCTTTCTTTGTCGCTTACGTTCTGTCTGTGTCTAGTACTCTTCCTCTTCTTCATCGTAGTCTTCGTCTGGCTACACACGGCGGGCTTGAGTGAGCGGCGGCTGGCGGGCTAGAGGGAGGAACTGCTGGCGGGCTCTAGAACGGCGTGGCAGGCGGGCTTGCGGCAACCACATGTGACCTACCTCGGTCTGGACTCCGCTTCGTCCACGGTGAAAGCCGATCCGGCGATCCACAGTGCGAAGTTGATGTATTTCCTCAGCGACCAGCACGGATCAGCTCTAGGCATGACGAAGTGGATATAGTCCTCTTTTGGAAGGCCAAATAAAGTAGTTTCGCTTTCACAACGAAACACACAGCG